CATGTTTCAAACAGTGTTTGAGATTTCTGTAGTGTATAATCAATTTACTCCTGTGGTATATTGTAGTACACCCTATATTGAAGTTGTATTTTCATATATGTAATCAAGTTATGTGACTGTCAGATTATTGATTTTGGTAATTGTTTTCTTCTTATGAAATATAATTTATATCTTCAAGTGAAGTGATTTAATTTCCTCTTCGACTCTCTATCCACGGGATACAACATAAATTGGCGACGAAGGTGTTGAACGAATTCACGATGGGTGATAAAGTTACTGTGGTTAATGGGGCCATTTGCAATATTACTGGTTTTTCACTTGGTAACGACTGGGAAATATTTGCTGAGAGGCTCGACCAGTATTTTGCGGCTAACCTTGTGGAAGAAAAACGGAGAACGGCAGTTTTATTAACACTAATAGATGAAGAGGTATATAGAGTTTTGAGGAATCTTTGTGATCCAGCTATCCCAAGGGAGAAATCTTATGAGGAAATCATGATTATACTTGGAGATCAATACCAAAGGCGAGTGAGTGTTTACCGTCAACGAATATTGTTCGACAATTTGAAGCAGACAGGCGAAAATATTAATGACTGGTACGTCAAGGTGAAGCAACTAGCATCAAAATGCAAATTTGGAAATTTGTTGAACGAACGTGTCAAAGATAAGTTCGTAGTGGGTATGAAACCTGGGAAGATTTTGGATAGACTTTGTGAGGAGTCAGAGACTAAGCAGCTGAGTGAACTCTTTGAACTAGCACTAGCAAGGGAATCTTCATTGAGTCAAATGAGTAATCTAGCAGAAGTCAATAGTGTGCAGAGAGTTTGGAAACAGTCTGCAGTTTGGAAGAAGCCAGATTTGAAGAACCAGTCCAGTAGTAAACAAGAAACCAGTTCTACGGATGGTAGTGATCCTAGAGTTTGTTTCGCTTGTAATAAAGGGAATCATAATTTCACCACTTGTAAATTCAAAAGGCATTTTTGTCAGCTTTGTAAACGAAAAGGTCATATTGTTTCAGCCTGCAGAATGAACAAAAATCATTTTATTGCTTCTGAAAGCATTGAAACCGACGGCGAAAATGACGTATTTGAGATGTTTACCATTAATGATCATTCTGTTTCTAGGTCTCATCCAATTTTCGTCGACACGTTGTTCAATGACAAATTATTAAAAATGGAATTGGATACAGGAGCTAGTTTATCTTGCATACCATTGAAACTTTACGAGAAGTCTTTTTCAGACGTTGTTCTCTCCGATACCTCTATCAAATTGAAATCGTACGACGGAAATATCATTACTCCAGCAGGTAAAATCAATGTTGATATAACTGTGGGTCATGTCACCAAGAATTGCGATTTAATAGTTATTGAAGGGGGTTGTAGACCATTATTTGGTAGAGATTTACTCAACATATTTGAACTTGATATTTTGAAATGTGTCAATGTCAATTCAATCAATGATGACAACACATTGAATAATTTACTGGGCGAATTTTCGAAATTATTCAATAACGAATTGGGATTGTATAAGGGTTACCAAGTTACACTGGAATATGACCGAACAGTGAAGCCTATTTTTCATAAACCTAAACCCGTACCATTTGCTTACAAAAAAGCGGTTGAGGTAGAACTTGAGCGATTACAAAAAGAGGGTGTCATTGAAAAAATTGATAATTCAAAATGGGGAACACCATTAGTTGTTGCTTTGAAAGGTAATGGAAAAATAAGACTTTGTGCTAATTATTAAATTACTATTAATAAATATTTGACTGATGTTCATCATCCGTTGCCCAGAATTGATTGTATATTCGCTGCTCTTCAGGGTGGAAAACAGTACACCAAATTAGATTTAAGAAATGCATACAATCAACTCGAGTTGGATGATGAAACTTCCATGTTATTAGCTTGGAGCACCACTCAAGGAATTTTTAAAGTAAATAGATTACCTTTCGGAACAAAACCAGCTTGTGCAATTTTCCAACAGGCAATCGAAAAAATTCTTATAGGCATACCTGGAGTCGTAAATTTTCTGGACGATATTGTTGTTACAGAAAAAACATTAGAGGAACATTTGAAAAATTTGAGACAAGTTTTATTTCAATTAGAAAGGAACGGTCTTCGTTTGAATAAGGAAGAATGTAGTTTTTTCGAGAAAGAAATAAAATATCTTGGCCACATCATAAATTCTGAAGGATTAAAAAAAGATACTGATAAAATTAATGGTATTTTGCAATGTAAAGTTCCAGAAAATGTTACGGAAGTGAAAGCTTTTTGTGGAATGATCAACTACTATTCAAAATTTATATCAAATTTAGCAATTCTGTTGAAACCGTTATATCTTTTGTGTGAGAAGAATGTGCCTTTTGTATGGTCTTCCGATTGCGAAGAAGCTTTTGAAAGATCTAAAAATGAGTTGGTTTCAAATAAGGTTTTAGTTCATTATGATAATAGTAAACCAATACGATTATATTGTGACTCAAGTAGTTATGGAATTGGAGCTACTTCAGTTCATGTTTCCGAAAACTCGTCTGAGAAACCCATTTGTTTCATTTCTAGAGTTTTGAACAAATCTGAAAGGAATTATTCCGTTGTACATAAAGAGGCTTTGTCAATCTATTGGGCTGTTAGGAATTTTTTTCAATATTTAGCCGGTAGACATTTTGAAATTTATTCAGATCATAAAGCATTACAAGTACTTTTTGGGGAGAATAAGAGCTTACCAGATATGGTGTCAGGTAGGTTACAAAGATGGTCTTTGTTTTTATCAAATTTTGATTATTCTTTCTCTAACATCAAAGGAAATGAGAATTCCAGAGCAGATGCTCTCTCGAGGTTACCAGTTCAAATTATGGATAATGTTTCATTTGACGAACAAATGGATTATCTGAATTTCGTTGAGAATTCCAATGTGATAGATATTAATTTAGTACGTTTAGAAACTAGAAGAGATCCAATTCTGGGTAAACTTCTCAACTATATTCGATATGGATTTCCAGATTCCAATAGGGAGGAAGGTTTAGCACCCTTTCATTCTAGAAGAAATGAATTATATATTGATAATAATATAATAATGTGGGGTTATAGAGTAGTTATTCCTACAAAACTTAGAGATGAATTATTGAAGGAATTACATGCAAACCATGAAGGTATTGTTAAAATGAAGACAACTGCTAGGTCTTATTTCTGGTGGCCTTCACTAGACCTGGACATTGAAAACATTGTAAAACATTGTTCAATTTGTGTAGGTTTTCGTCCTGAACCGTCCAAGTCTGTGGTGAGGCCGTGGAGTAAATCAAACCGAGTTTATGAGAGGATACATTGTGATTTTTTAGGTCCTTTCAACGGTAAAATGTTATTAGTTGTTGTTGATTCTTTTTCCAAATGGCCTTAGGTTTTCATAATGAGAAATTGTGACGCGATGGAAACGGTTGAAAAATGCAGAGAATGTTTCTCGCGTTTTGGACTGCCGGAAGTTTTAGTAACGGACAATGGAGCATCCTTTACTTCAAAGATATTTTCTGATTTCCTTAGTTTCAATGGTATCAAGCATTTGACTTCTCCTGTTTACCACCCTGCCAGCAATGGGCAAGCTGAAAATACAGTTAAAAGTTTTAAATTGGGTTTATCGAAAGCTTTGAGAGATAAAAATAACAAAGCTGTATCTTTTCAGACTTTGATTAATAGATATTTGTTCAGTTATAGAAATTCCGTGCATATTACTACTGGTAGAACTCCATCTCAGATGATTTTCAAAAATAAACCGAAAACTAGATTAGATCTCTTGAAATATAATCCTCAGAGTAGAGAAAAGGGTTGGATGCATCATAATGGTAAACGAGATACCAGATTTTTTGTTGGTGAAACAGTTTTTTGCAGGGATTATAGAAAACCAAACTGTAAGACCTGGACGAAGTGCATTATTGATGAGATTTTAGGGGAAAATATGTATATGTGCAAGGTAATCGACGAGGATTTGGTTTGGAAACGACATTTAGACCAAATCATCAATTCTGGAAATCAGATAATGAATGATACTGAATTGAATACATCTAGCTTACCAAATGTCTCGTCGGCTTCAGATTCACCCCATTCAGAGGCATCGAATGTAGGAACATCACACTCAGGCTCCTCACATTCAGAGGCATCACATACAGAAACCTTACACTCAGAGATACCACACGCAGAAACACCAAACATAGAAACTAGTGCAGATTTTACGAATTTAATTGATGAATCAAGTCGAGCACTTCCTCCAAGTCCAAACAGAACTTCTTCAGCAGAAGGAATAGAAAACAATCAATATCAACTAAGGAACAGAGTTGCATTGAAACGGCCTGTTCGATTCTTATGATCAGGGGTATTGTGGTATATTGTAGTACACCCTATATTGAAGTTGTATTTTCATATATGTAATCAAGTTATGTGA